GAGCGGTTCTGCCCTCATCGTCCGTTCTGTTAACATCCGCACCATGTTTTAAAAGAGCTTTAACGATGTCTTCGTGGCCACCCCACGCGGCCGCTCGCAACGCAGTACGTTGATCCCAATCCGCGCAATCCACCATAGCCCCGTGTTTCAAAAGTTGTTCGACCACCTGAAATAGAAAACTCGTGAGAAACATCCGTTTCTCTTGACTTGCACTGCGAAACTTACAATTTAATTTTTTAACTTATTCGATAAAAAATTGCCAATTATATCTTTATAACGCACGGTTAATGAAATTTGTGCATTTTCTTGAAAATTTATCAATTAAATCTAACTTTACCTGAGTATGCCCTCCCCAGGCAGCAGCCCTAAGGGCGGTCCAGCCATCACAGTCCGCGTGATCCGCCCTCGCGCCGGCAGCTAAAAGAACACGCACCACATCCGCGTAACCGTGTCTCGCGGCTAAATTTAATGGTGTCTGTCCATTCCGGTCGACCGCTTCCAATTTTGCCTATGTAAATCAAAAATTTATCAAGCTAGATATTTTAAAATAAATAATTTTATATTATTTGATGAATGATCTTAAGTAAACATAGCTTGACTATTTGAACTTTATTCTATGTAGATAGCTAATTTTTTAATTAATCGAAATTTGTATTAATCTACGAAAAATTTGTATACCTGAGGACAGGCTGCAAGCGCCAACTCTAGCAGAGATGCATTGCCATCAGCGGCTAATGTGTGCAACACCGTTCGCCCATAAGAATCTGCTTGATTGATATCTCCACTTTCACCGAGAAGCTCCGTTAACGGTTCATTTGGAGATTCATCAATGGGACTTACATCTTGCGAAACCTTTGTACAAGAAACGCAATTGCATTTGTCTTATAAATTATTTTCTAGCATATCAATGCGCTACATTTTAGCGTTGTACTGTTCAATGTATTACAAATCATATTATACTTATGATGATTTAATGAAATTTATAATCTATGACCCACATATATTGTTTTTTCTTTTATCATAAAAAAAGAATTATGACTACAAAAGTAGATTAGATATTAATATATTAGATAGTACTATTTTGTCATAGTTTTTCCTGTGACTCACATGTTTTTATCACTAGATTAGATATTTTTATACATTTTATCTTAATTTCCGGAGAAACTTTCATGATTTACAAAATGAAAATACATTTCATTATGGTGTTATTATCGAAATTAATACAAAAAAATGTGCCTGAGAAGCAGAAATGAAACTAAGAAGAAACGGAGGGATTACAGCGTGGTAGATGCAAAATTTATTAAATTTTAATTCAATTCAACAAGATTATAACTTTCTATTTATAGGTAATAAGCTTGTTTGTATCGAGTAGAATATTGAATACACTTAGGAACTAAGCGTCCCGAGTATATACTCAGCTAGTTATGTCATTACATAGAAAAGTTACTTATTTTTTTCTCTCGTATCCTTATAAAAAACGTTTTTAACAAAAAAGAAAATTACCTGACTAGAAGAAACGGCATCTTTGCTAGCGTCGTCATCGACGGTCTTTTCGGAGGGCTTAGCGCCAGCGTCGATCAACAGTTTGAGAAGCTTTACGTCCTGCCTGGGCCAGAGAATACACTCGGAGCTATCTAAATAACAGCCTTCGACGGGTGCGTTACTACCGATCATCCAAAGTACTTGAAGTGTGTGGACGTCTAGAGTGGTGTTAGTCGGAACGCTCGTAATCGCGCGTTGCAGGTGTTGAGCCAGCACGCAGATCTCGTCAGGATTGAGCTCGGAACCGCGAAGAGTGTAATAGGCCGCCAGCATAGCATGGCCCTCGGTGGCCGAACAGAGATACTTTTGCGTACAATGTTTGACATCGAGTAACCACTCAGCGAAGCTGTGATGAAAGAGCATCAATGCGCCGGCACGCGAGACCGATATCACTCGGCGCAGAAGATGAAGCCGGCGATTAAAATCCTCGACGGTGATGCCGACACAGGCCGTCTTTACGCTCTCGTATAGAATTTCCTGGGTGATGGGTAATTTAGCGGCGAGTATGACGTTAAGAAGAGGCTGCACCTTGCTAAATTGTTTCCTACTGAAGAGTCGTTGGCAGAGCCAAAGATATAGGCCGTTCAGCGTACCCGGAATCTCGCGCACCTCGCGCAGAACAATAAAATTCTCCGCCACGCCGTCAAGCACTTTCTCCAGGTACAGAAAACAACCGTTGCTCTTTATGTGCAACTGGTTCAGCATCTCGGCGGTGTCGCGCGAGATGTGTTGCCTGAGAGAAAATAATTTATAAAAATATTAGCAAAACGCGATTATTTAATACAGATGTCGAATAATTTCGCGCGATTGACGTGTATATATTGAATTAGACCACTTAAATATTCCAAATATTTCTGTCGTTATTGATAAACTAATGCAAATTTTTACGCTATTTCTTGTTAATTTATATAAAATATAAATTGTAAATTTTGATATTAAATTTACAATAACTAGCAAAACAATTTGCATTATTACATGAAATTGTAAATTTATTTCTATTAATTATGCATACGATAGATTTAAATACATTTTTTCAAAAGATAATTGTCGACAAATTTAATACGACATTATACGTTAAGTTAATAACTGAGCTTTACGGAGGATGAACAATAATATGAAAATTCGTCGTTATATATACCTGAGCGCATCCTCCTGATCCAGCCGCGCGAGTATATACTGCTGAACATCTCTGACAACCTGGGACTTTCTCAGATCGTCCAGTGAGATCTTGCGAAAGCCGGTGAACATGCGCGAGATAGTTTTACTCTGTCGTCGAGCTGTGCAGACTAACAAGAGCCACTGTGGAAACAGATGGTGGTGATTAGCCAGTAATTCAGCTATCGTGCGACTGACGTTATCGTTCTCCCTTCGCGAGTCCCTGGTGCCGGTCTGCGGTGGATTCAATGTCTGGCCTTCGTCAATCGAGTCCACCAGCAGAAAGAGACAGTTTTTCGGCGGTTCTACTTCTAACAACGGAAACAATAGGGCCTTTTTCAAGGCATCGTCCGGATCTCGGTCTAAAACATCCGGTTGCAACGCGGCCTGTATATCTGGATCAGTTCGCAGTTTCTCGGCGTAGGCTTCCGCGATGGCCTCTCTAGAGGTGAGAAGCGGCGCGGCAGCTGTGACGGTTGTCGTCGTTGTTGCTGTTGTAATCGCCGTAGTAGGCGTCGCAGTCGTTGTAGTCGCCGTCGTTGTCGCTGTGAGCATCATGGTCGTGGTAACCGTGGTTGCGGTCGCCGTCGCGGATGTTGTCGGTGAGGATGTTGATATAGACGACGATCGATGATGAATGCCGTCCGAGCAGCTGGCCTGGAGCAATTGGGCGACTAAAGATCGCACGAATTGAGCGGGCGACAGGGAAGCCTCGCTTCTGGCTTGACAAAAGTGTCGTGCCAGCAGTCGGCGGTTCAAGGAGCGCTGATGCCTCGCGGAAGCGCCATTCGATGGCCACGCTAATTCGGCGCAGAGCGCCGTCTTTCCGCTTCCCGGTCCGCCCACGATCAGAGCACCGCATGTCTTCGATTGTGGCCGCTGTTCCAGACAATGCGACAGCTTCGTAAAGGCCCACTCACGGCAGAAGAAACGCTTCTTCTCGATCACCGGTGCCGCCATCTCGAAATCTTGATATCTATGTGTTTTATTCGATCAATTCGTGAGCATCATGGTCGTGGTAACCGTGGTTGCGGTCGCCGTCGCGGATGTTGTCGGTGAGGATGTTGATATAGACGACGATCGATGATGAATGCCGTCCGAGCAGCTGGCCTGGAGCAATTGGGCGACTAAAGATCGCACGAATTGAGCGGGCGACAGGGAAGCCTCGCTTCTGGCTTGACAAAAGTGTCGTGCCAGCAGTCGGCGGTTCAAGGAGCGCTGATGCCTCGCGGAAGCGCCATTCGATGGCCACGCTAATTCGGCGCAGAGCGCCGTCTTTCCGCTTCCCGGTCCGCCCACGATCAGAGCACCGCATGTCTTCGATTGTGGCCGCTGTTCCAGACAATGCGACAGCTTCGTAAAGGCCCACTCACGGCAGAAGAAACGCTTCTTCTCGATCACCGGTGCCGCCATCTCGAAATCTTGATATCTATGTGTTTTATTCGATCAATTCGTCTCGTGTTTTCTTCTCCCTTGAAGCGCTTTTAACTTATGGGGTTTTATCGAGGTTCCTTCGCGTAAATCAATTGACATAAGAGTAGATCTTTGGCATAGGTTTCACTATATCGATCCGTGTGTTTCGGAACGCCTCAACTCGGTACTTCTCGGAGAGATATCTGTCTTTCGGATCTAGATTATTCTCCTCGGTATTGCGATTTAATGTTGATCTGTATATCTGTCGGTGTGTAAATAAAGAGATCGGCTTCAGATCGGCTTAAGTGCAATGACAAGATTGATCCGACTGCGCTGCTCTGTCAATGGAACATCGATGGTAGCCCCAGGGGGCTCTGAGGCTTCCTCTGACTCCATTCAGGCTTCTCATCGCCTTATGACTGGCGAACAATGAGTTTTGCGCCCTTGCATGCTATCTGAAACAAAATGAAATTATTGCTGTAGCTTTTTAACAACTCATGGACGTAGATGTATCGCGATATTATCAGTAGACTGTGTTATGACTATTAATTAGATAATTTTTTAAATATTGTCTATTATACATCAAATTATCTACATATGCTCACGAAACATAATATAAAATGAATCTCGCTACAGTTTGATCACAAAATCACGTTTATTAAATAATGCTTATTAAAAGTTCTCGAATAGATTAGAAGCACATAATATATATCATTTTATTGATATAAAAAATTATAAAATAGTTTTACAATATAAACATATATTCGAGCATGAATTAAACAGCTGCGGTATTAAAATAAATTTATTATAATTATACGTATTTTTATTAATTACATGTATTATCTATTAAATCTATCTATTTATATGTAATATAATAATATGTATCTTTTTGTCTCTGCGGAATTTCGAAAATTTTTTAATTTACACGAACGATACGAATATATCCTATATATTCTCTACAGATGCAGTCTTTAAAAAATCTCGAGCTTCCTCGAATCTCTTTATAATTAACTGACCCAACTAACCGTCTAATTGATTCGTTCAGTGTTAATCTTTGGGTTAGACGCTTATATAAGTTCTGGCGGCCGTTAGATGGCCCCTTCCGAGACTTTAATCATTCCTTACCGTCCTAACTTCGTACAATCTCCCCAAGAGCCTGAGGTAAAACGATATTAAGTTAAAACGGTCTTCCGTTTAGTTAAGATAGATTAGTACGCTGTCCATTAATTCCATTAATTCGATAATTAATATCCGTAATATGGCGGAAAGTTCAACAATCTCTCCTAGCGCGTCCCACCGGATGCTGTTGGGTTTATTATCGCGAAAAAAAATAAATAACGGTATCGCGCAATCAACAGTAAAATGTCGCAATTCTTACGCGTGTATCTTCGATTCACACGCGTGTTAGAAATTTTTATACGCAATGATGTGTTACGACAATTCTGATGCTCTCACCGTCATTTCCGCTCCCAAATGTGCGTTTTACGAGAAATACTCTCTCGCCTCAATGAATTACAAATACGTTCCCGCGGTATATCGTGGAACGATTCGATTACGTTCGTGGATGCGAAAGTCGGGACCGTTAACGTATAATTGCGTTACGCGCGACGAAATTGCCACGCGACCATCTACGACCATCTCGTTATTCTCTTTCTCTCTCTTGTAACGCGGTTGGAAAATGTGTTGTGCGAGAAAACGTGGAAATGGTTTTACCGAAAGCCACAAATCTGACTGTCGTATCGAGCGATACATGCGTATGTGTTTGCGAGTGCATGTATATATCACAAACGTGTGTAACGCGAAAGATCGTTCGGTTGCAGCACGTCGACCCGATAATGTAGGGACGAAGGACCGCAAATCTAACTCGTACTCGGAACTGGCGCGATAAATCTTGCGTTTATCTGCCGTCCGAAAGGCAATCAGACCGCGGGCGGTCTAATACTCTTCTTTGTTTTTTAATTGAACAGCTGTTTATTTATGATAACTAACGTCGTATACGATAACTAACAAGGGAACTTCGCAAATTCTGATTTTGATGAAACTTTACACACATGTAAGGAGGGGGTGGTAAATAGATGAATTCAGAAATTTTTAGTTGCGGCCTAAAAATGACTCTAAGGGATGAAACCACCCCTCATATGTAAAGCGGCCTCTTGCTTTCCTCGATATATCTCGAAAATTATTTGAGATATCAAAAAATATTTTATACAGAAGTTTCATGGTAAAAGCACCTCTATTTAACCATATCGATAAAATTTTGAAAAAACTTTTTTTAAAAATCTTTGAGAAAAATAATTTTTTCACAATTTTATTAATGTGATTACATAAAGGTGTTTTTTTTTTTACCATAAAACTTTTGTTTAAAATATATACCTACATGTGTGTAAAATTTCATCAAAATCAGAATTTTCGGGTTCCCTTGTCTTGAATTAAAATTTCGTTAAAGCGGAATCCACTCGAAATCACTTGGAAATATATGCTTTCCTGGATCTACATTCGTCTTCCTGAAACTTGGTTCGCGGAATCAAGTTCCTCTCTCGCGATCATTTATAACTAAGAGTACGGGAGATATCTCGACATTTTAAAAGAAGGAAAAAGATTATCGCCCGTCGTGGTTTTACAATACCATCGAGTATTCCTCCATGTTGTCGCATCTTGATTTATTTCCCGGGAGGCGAACCGTACAGTCTCGAAACTTATGTTCGGGCACGAAGTTAATAACTATGTCGCTTCATTCGAGTCCGTTCACCCGTGACTATGTTTGCCGCAGGACTTGGAAGCAGCGAGACTTGGAAACTGCTACCGCAACATTGTTGCAGTAAATATACACGGTAAATGCACGCTTACATATATAACCTGACGTTTGGTGCCTCGGTGAATGCCATAACGTTCGACCCATATTCCAACAATGACCGCGACCCGTTTATTATTAGATGCAAGGGACACTGTTGTAAAGAGATGACACCTTCATCGCGTGTGCATCACGTTGCACGCTTGTCACCCGATGTAATAAAAAAAAAAAAACGCGGCATCGGCGTCTCTACGATAATTATCACTACCAAACGATATGCGAACTGAAGACGAGAAATAAGACGCGAGAATCTGATCACAAATAAGGCTCTACCAAAGTTTGGTCAATCAACTCTTCAAGGCGAAATTGTTATAACATATTAAAATCATTCATTCGCCACCAAATTGTTTAATGTATAATTAGAGATAATTAATAAGATTTTAATTATAGATTGCAAATTATAAATTACACGCTTAAAAATATCGAGAGACGCGTTTTAGGTAACTATCACACAATATGTTATAAATTTGTAAATACGAATATGTTATTCACATAACTATATCCATCATGTATAATATATTATTAATAATATGTTAATCAATTGTATTAAAGTTGATCATTAATGTAAAAATTATATTTTAGCCAAGCATTGTTTAATTACTTGATTACTGATCTTCACATTCCTTTCTTTATGAAAACTTTTATTATATATTTCATTTGATCAAAAAAAAAAATTAAAAAGACACATCGCGATTTGTATAGTTTTTCTCAATCTTTTCTTTTCTGGTGTATGTTACAATCAGACAAAAAAAAATTGGAATAACAGTACAAAATTTAAGTGGTTTTATTCAATTTCGTCCTTGTATATATGTGTGTATGTGTACATGCGTATGTGTGTGTGTGTGATGTTCATGATATGTTAGACAGAAAGGGTTAAAAGCGTCACGGTTGTAAGCATGAGAAGGAGGGAAGAAAGGAGGGAGGGGGAGGAGAGCAGTACCCGATGTTTCCTTTCTCACGTTATGCTTTCTCCCTATTCTGTCTTGCGCCCTAACTGATCGATTTCCGCTCCCTACCGTGAACTCTACGCCGACCTCGACGAATGCGAAATTTATCCTCGACAGAGGAACCGAATTCAATCAACGAATATGGGCGCATTGGGTCCATTTATATGCAAAAATGTAATACGCCAATATTCACCGATAAACGGTAGCGCGATTCATTTCATGAGGCATATAGATAAACAGAATCTAGAGAAATAATTTTCACAAGCGAAATTGAATAACAATAAGTGCAAAGAGAAACCATTCTTCGTTAAATTTATCCTTTAAAAATGTGTTATCTACAATCAAATCAGCTTTTTGTAAGCTGATCAGTTTTTCTGTATTTAATAATGCTGATAAAAAAAAGTTATTTAGATTTGTCTCATTGTTTGGCCGTGTCTATTACATGACCTGCTATTATAACAAAAATACATATATTTATATGAATATATCATTTTTCGTAATTGCATTAGAAAGGATCGATATGTTTTCACCCATTTTCCATTTGAAAACTATATTCTATTTGCGAAAGTGAATAGAAAATTTCGAATTTCCTATATAAAAGTTATTATGACTTACATCAAAAGATAGTGGCGCAATTTTAGTCCTCGGTAGATAGCAAGCGGCTGCGACGCGTTTCCCTCATTTCTCATCGCGCGATGGAAGTAGAGACGGAGATGAAAGCGTGTGATTTTCTCAAGGTGAAATGATCTCGTCGTTTGTCTGAATATACAAGGGTCTGTCTACTTTGATATTGCAAAAGTTCGTCTAGATCCGAGATCGCGAAAAAGAAGCATAGAATTGTAAAAGAAAGAATACATTTTAGCATACATTTAAAGAGTGTTTGCTAAACTAGATTTTAAAAGCTAACCTTTGTGTATGTGCGTGAAACAGCTAAAACATTAACAGATTAGTCAAGTGTTTTGTGTGAATAATTATCTATTATATTTAAGTATTTGAAATTTAAAAAATATTTATAAAGTGAATATTATGTGTATTATATATATATTTATATATATAATACACAATACATATTTATGTATATAATATACAATACATGCATGTAAGCATAAAAGTAATTAAAAATATACAAAATTCTTTTATTTATTAAAATCATAATTTCCAAATATCCGCAGGATTCGCGACAACTCGATTATAATACACAATCCACGATTGTCGGAGGCTTTAATGTTTCTAATACCGAGTTTTCATAAAAGAAGAAGTCAACGCGCGAGGGTCGATATAAAAAAACAACCCTCAAGATGTCTCAAATTCATCTCTCACTTTTAATTCGGTTACGCGGCGTTGCTCCGTCGCACTCGTTGCACACGAATACATTATGCATCGGGTTGCACGCGTGCTAGCTAACACCTACGCACGCAGCCATGCATGCCAGAGATCTCGTTTATAGACACAGGAAGAACTTCTTCCTGCATTAAGAGAAAGAAAGAGAGACACCTCTCTTTCGTTTGCCGTCTTGTATTTCGAGTCGTAGAATTGGCGCGAGGTGTCCTTTGTATGACTGCGTTAAATATTCAAGTGATGAAATTCTGCAGACGAAAGTTAAAAACTATCGAAGATTAATACGACGCGTTTTATTTCAAAGCCGAGTTTGCGTGAT